TCTGGAGCGCAAAATTGTTTCGTAGCTTTTAAGAGCAGGCACTGTAAGAAAAAAGTATTTATTCTTATAATTTTGTATTTATTTGTGATCAATATTTGTTGTATAAGCTTATTTGCTGACTTGAAATTAACTTGATTTAATACACACAAAAGACAAAACAAAAGATTATATTGTATGAATCGAATCCATGCTGAAATCAATTTTAGTTACTATGAATGTACGTATCTACATATGTATGTCTCAGAATTCAGACTTGGGAATTTTAGTGCTGTCTCTGGTAAAACTTTGGTTAAGCTTAAGTGAAGACGTTTTTTTTTTTTTTTTTTTTAATTTGATGAGACTGAAAAAATAAGTGAGTGAGTGAAAAGGAATTAAAAATAGTATTTAGTAATTTAGAAAAGTATTTCAATAATGGCTTTAACAGATTTTGCAACCTTCAAAATTCTATATGTTTTATTTCCTTATCTGTCTAAACATTCTTTTATTGTAAATTCTTTTGTAAAAGTATTATTTTTGTTCTAAAAATGTATTTTGTACCTTGTATCTTTTTTCCCACATTTTCTGCCAGTCTATCTACACATGGAAAAACTTTTAATCGTTAATTTTCTAAAACACATCACCAGCAGCGGCAACCCCAACGAACCAGTTTGCGTTGGCGACAACTTTGCATTCCCCTCGACGGGAAACCAAAAGATTTGTTTAATTCTTTGTAGATTTATGACTATTCTCCACACAATTTCTCAATAAGCAGATCATAGTTCCTTCTTGCTCGCACTCTTAATCCCCTCGATCTCGATCTCTCCATCTCGTTCGATCATTAGCTCACATCTGAGGCGATTCCAATGAAATGTGTTTTCGAATAAAAATGGTCCATGCGATGCGATCGAATTTAAATTGAAAAATTTGATTTTAATTCTAGCATTTGAAATGTGTTTTCATTAACATAATTAACGCCGAATTAAATGTTTAGTATCTGTCGCCCTGTCTCTCGCTGTCCCCTGTTCCATGTTTTCGGCTAAGCTGTTGTAAAAATAAATAAATTACATTTTACAGCGAAGAAAGTTCCCTTAGGACACAGAGAGTTGGTTGGACACCTTGACAGCCATTCGTCAGTCCATTAAATTTGTGTGTGTGTTTTTGTTTTTAGGATGCATTAAAAAGTCAAACGATCTCGAGCGTGTTTGTTTCTTCACTTTCGTGTCTCTCGATTTGGGGGGTCCGTGGGGGATCGAAGATGTTTTTGGGATGCCGAGAGGTCTCCCCCCCTTGATTTATGTTTGTGGCTCATTTATATTGAAATTTGATATATTTAAGCACACGAGGTTCATTTTGCAAAAGCCGCCGGCTCCACTTCGTATTTTATATTCGAATTAATTGAAATGATTGTGATCTACAACATCGTCGACTCACGGGATTCACATACATACATATATAGCCACTTTGGATCTGTATATATCGCCATGAGTATCGCCTTTTGTCTCCTTTGTCTTTGGTCTCGTTTCCATCCATATAAATTATATCTCCGGCACACAATAGTACAACACCTCCTAAACGCTCCTCTTTAAGTTACAGTTTTAATGTCGAGGCCTGACAAACCCATAAATGTTGTGGGGCGTGCAGATCGTCATAGGGTTGGGGTTGTAGGCGTTTTATATCAAATTTGCATGAAGTTTTAGTTGCCTTTTTTTATATTTAATTTTATAATTTAAAGGTTTGTTGAGAAAACTATGTTGTTTACCTGACTTTTTGGGGTTAAAAGCAAGCCGCCAATGTTATTTTTCGGGATTATCAAATTCGGAAATAGTTATAAATAAACGAAAAAGCCTTCTTATACATACATATGTATGTATATGTAGATCACAGTTGTTACTGTTACCTATTCGGACTTTCACATAATTTTCCTCCATTAAAATTTGTATTCATCTAATTTAAAACTAAACTAAACTTTATTTCTGTTTGGATTTTTGCATTTGTTCTGCGATCAATACAGCTGTTGGGCTTTATAAAAAATAATAAAGAGAAAAAGAACCCCGACTATAAAAATCTCCATTCATGAATCATTGCATACTTATGAGCGACATTGTACTTTTCTCCTATTTAGTGCTACAATAAAATAAATATAATATTTTAATATGACTCCGGACTAGTAAAGAATCACATTTATGATAACTTCCAGATATGTACAAAAAAGTTTAAAAACTCTGAATGCAAAAACCATGGGCCCACAACACATTTGTCAAGCTACACAAAACGAGGCACACATTATAAAGTATGAAAAAACAGGAGAGACAAAAACAAAGGTCCAGCCAACCAAGCAGTTAAAACAAATCCAAGAGCAGATCAAACCATCCAGTGGGGACCGGAGGAGATGGTCTCTCTCTCTCAAGGCAAGTTGATCACCCGCTGACAGAAAATCACTTGGCAACGCGGCTGATCATTAACCGATAACACATGACATTAAAGGGGTTCACAAAGAAGAGGTTTTAAACGCACACAAAATAAGATAAATACCGACCACCCCAATGAGGTGGAACCCAGCGAGTCCGACAGAAACGAGCAAACGAGCGGAAAATTAATAGTGTGAACACATGAGGGGATAGAAGGAGGAGTTGGGGGAACTGGGGAAGCTGGAGCATAAGGATGAGCAAGCAGCAAGGTAGATCTGAGCATCTGAGATAAGTATCAGCTTACATTGGAGCCGGGTCGCAGAACGATGTCGGACGGTAGTAGGGAGTTGGAAATTTGTCAAAATGTCAACGGGTGAAACAGTTTTGGAACAGTTGAGCCGGCGACTGGATATGCTGTGAGATTCGATGGGATTGGGACTGAGACTGAGACTGGGGCTGGGGGACCTCTTATGGAGCAGCCACGTAGCTTTTGTAAAACAAACCATTAGCAGCTAATAAACATTAGTCATGCGACAAAACAAAGTTTCTGTGTCTGTCTGGTGGAGGGAGGGAGGCCCGAGATCTTACGGTCTCGATGATTTAGTGAGAGTAATTAAAACTTAAGTTTCCTTCGCTTCGCATATGTAAATGATCTCGCGGAATTCCACGAAAATCCAAACCGAACCGAAAAACGAAATACGAAAACGAATAAAAGAGTTTTTCAGCTAAGGTTAAACAAGTTTTGGTGTTTGCTCCTCTCCGTCAGGTTCCATATATCCACATATAATTATAATGAATCGCCTGTTTAATTGAAATTTATGCAGATCGTGGGTAACCGAAGTGACCAGCGCGTGTTGACAGTCAGAGTGCCATCAATTATTAGACCGAGGACCTCATACTTCAAGAGCTAGCCACCGTTATAGCTCGGTTAACTGGCAGTCCTGATAGTATCGTTTTGTAAATGATCGCCTACAAATTGTGTACAAGATTATGGTAGCTGGCACATTAGAAACTTGATTCGTAAAATGGCAATTACGAGCGGATTCCACATCCTTGTGAGTCACATCATCCCCATTTTGCCGGATCATGTAGCTGTAAATGTATACCACTTAATTCTGCCTTTCTGGCACTTTTCTGTCCCGATTTCTGGCCGTGTGTCACCATCGGCTCAGCTTAACTCTTCTCCGGTACTTTGGAGTCCTCCGTTCGCACTGGCTGGTTATTTATTAGCTTTTCATCCAATCACAAATCACCTGGCAGTATTTTGTTTTGTACATTTTTATGGTGGCTACTGATTCTGTGCAAGTGTAAGGAAATCGCCTTGGTCTGAAGCCTTTATTTATTTACAAGGGGAATGGGTGTATAGCCTGCGTTTGCCATGTGCAACAGTGTTTACTTAAGCACAAGATTTTGGGTTTTTTTTTTTTTTTTAGGAAAGCACTGAATTATTATAATCTTTTTGAACACCTGCCGACGGTATCACACCCTGGAAAAATGATTCAAAAATACGTATTTTTAAATACCGCCGGATCATAATTTTATTTGATGTTCATAAAATTCTACAGTTTCAAACCTTAAAAAAAATATTTTAAATAAACATATACACAACTGTTTTAATGTATTATTTTATTCTTATTGGCTTGATGTATTTAAAAAGTGTATTTAAAAAGTGTGTGTAAAAACATTCATCAAATGAATTAAGATGCCAATTTATTTTGTCGCCCAGTTTCTTCTAAATTTAAAATAGTTGAAAATTTATTAAATTCCATTAAATTTCATAGGCGGTTGGATTATAATGTTACATTTTTGAATAGTTTTTCCCCATACAAAAAATACACTTTTTGACATCAACATAAGCATCTTTGCATTTCTAGTATCCTTTCTTAGCATTTCCTTTCCCCTCAACTTTTAATAATAATATTTACCCCATACTTAAGACGATACCCTGTAGTTTTAAGCAAGATACATGCCATATTGTTCTATAAAAAATGCACTGACCATTCGTGTCATCTTTTAAATATGGTCGCTGCGCATGCGCATAACCGTAAGATTCACACATGCCTGGGAAAGAGGCGAGGATGTGCGGATGGGAATGTGAATGTGGATGGTGAATGTGAATGTGAATGTGTTTGAGGAACAAGGGAAATACATTTTAAAAATTTAACGATGCGCACATTTTATTATCGCAATTAATTACAAAAACAACGCAGCCGAAAAGAAATCTTAGTCACTTTATCTGAGCCCAAGGAGAGAAAAGCTGAGAAAGATGGGAACGAGCGGGACAGAGTGGCAGAGAGATCCGAGCGATCCGAGGGCTGCGATAAGCTTTATGATAGATGAGACTAGTAAAATGCTACTACCAAATGGTTCTCGACTCGGAGATCGCTGCTCCTGTCGTAATTGGAGGCGCGACAGTTTGTCTCAGCAGTCAAACCCGGTTAATGGGAGAGCACCGTGCCGGAGAGCGACGACGAGTGCAGGAAACCTGTTTCTCGACCAATTAAATTCGAGAGAGAGAGATTGAGCCAGACTTTAGGCCTGGCCAAGAGACGTAGACGGCTGCTGCGGACCATCAGCCCAAGACATTTCGAGTTCCGACGCGCACCGCGACAGTTCCCGCTCCGAAGCGTCTCCGCCAAGTCCAAGTTTCGGTTTCCTCGGCGGCCTACGTACGATTGATTCTTCTCCGATCAGAGGAGTATAGAATGGGTTTTAAGCACGCCATGCTGCAGCGCAGTTACGAGCTGTCGCCCTCCCCGGCGCGCACACCACCCATGTCAGCCAATGTCACCACCAGAACCACCCACGAGGCGGCTCCTCCGGCGGCAGCTATGCTTCCCGTTCAAGTCACGGACTTTAGCATTAGCAGGATACTGGGCAAGGAACGAAAAAGTGTCCAAGAAGCGAGCGCCAATATCCTCGATCTCTCCAAGAGCAGCAGCCACATCAGCAGCAGAGGTAGTGACCTGAGGTCAGCTCAACCAGGAGGATTACCACCAGCAGTGCCGGTGTTGTCGTCACCCTACGGATGCTACTCCATGCTACCCCCGGATCTGGTGGCCATGGCCAATGCCACCCAGTTCTATGCCAAGTTCTTCCCGCACCTGTTGCCCGCCTATGCGGCGGCAGCGGCTGCTGCAGGACTTAGCACTCCGCCCACTTCGCCATATCAGCAGCCTCTCCCGCAGCAGCATCCGCCTCAGCTCCAGTCACAGCACAAGCGCTACTTTGCACCCTATGTAATTAATGGTCAACAGCAGCAGCAGCAGCAGATTCGTACGAAAGGCACTGCCTGCACCCGTCTGGACTGCCAGGAATGCCTGGAATACTACCAACGACTCCAGGCTGGCTACAAGCAATCAACGCCGCTGATATCTCCGGCAGCCTCATCCGTGAGCAGTTCCAGCGGTGTTCTGCGGCCAGCAAGGGATTTGGCCATGACTGCCGCCGGAGGATCCGTCACCAGTAATATTTCCCTGAGTTCCGTTACCAATCTGAATCTGAGCCTAAACATGACTCAGACAGCGGCTGTGTCCACTGTCGTGGGTAGCAATGCTGGAGCGATCGGTGGCTACAACACAGCTGCCGCCGAGGAGATTAGCTACAAGTGCAGGATATGCGAAAAGGTCTTTGGCTGCTCGGAAACTTTGCAGGTGAGCATTTGGAAAATTATACAAAAATTGCCTTGTCGAAAATAGATAAAGATGAAAGTAAACCACTTCCTAATTAATATAATTTAAGAAAAACTTTCCCAAAAAAAATGGTATGATATTACCCTAGGGGTATTTACTTTACTGTAGGTCCTCATCCTTATGATAAATAATTAACAAAATATTTTTAAAACTATTAAATAAAAAAGCTCTATAGGCCACATAAGTTTAAACTTCTATTCTTCTAACATTTTGTATCAACAATCTTTATGTTTTAGAAAAATATCTAGGTAATTACTATTTACATTAAATTATAGAAATAGAAGATAGAAATAGGTTTATTTGGAAACATTTGTTAGTTTAATTCTCGCCAAAATTTGTAGTTAGATAAATTTGAATCAAATAGTTTTGTTGATAGTTTAACTTCTTTAATACATCCATAAATAAATTATAATCTAGAGTGGAATCTTATTGAAAAATATTAAACATGAAGCAAACGGACGTATAAAATGTACTTCTGAAAATAATATAAATTACCTTTGAATTTCTTGAATTATAAAAAAAGGCTTTAAAGTGATTTTAAAATGACAAATTTTGTTTTTGAATGTTTTGAATAAGCTAACTGTTTTTTACTTCTTACTTCTGATCCAAATATTTCACCTCAGTTAAATATTTATTATTTCGTTAAACAAAATTCATTCGAAACATCAAGCTACATGTATTCAAAAAACATCTTTAACCTTTCTTGAGGCTATATATAAAATGAAATATCGTTTTTCCAATTCCCCAAGTAAATTCTCCAGATCCTCAGAAAACTGGTTTCTTCCACAAATGAAAGAGGCGGGGCTTAGCCAATGGAGAAACTAGGGGCGGAGTCTCCAAGTAAGCAAGAAGCAGAGAAGAGAGTTGAGAAGAATTGAGTGCCTTATGCAAATATCAGCAACTGAAGCGAGTCTCTCAAAATGGAGTCGTCCAAAAACAGAAAAGAGACAAACGAGAAGAGAAACTGGTTTTACGCATGGGTGCAGGGCGTTGCTACCAGATTCGTTAGAGAGAGAGAGGGTCTTAACTGATCCACACAAAATGGCCACAGAGTGTAGTATCAGTTTCTGACCCAAAAAGTGAAGCAATTCAGTTTATGAATTTAAGAAAACAATTCTAGTAAATATACTAAGCTTGCAGGATACCTCAGATCTTTAAATTGGTTGAGTCTTTGTATTAACTTTTTGGCAATTTTATATGAAACTTATACCAATTGTTTCGAGATTATATTTTTTATGGATTAAGCTATATTAAATGAATCATTTCCAAGCTAAACAATATTTATTTTTATCCTTCAGGCTCACGAGAAGACTCACAAATCACCGCGTTACGAATGCTCGGACTGCGGAAAGGGCTTCTCGCAGCTGCGAAACTACAAATACCACCTGTCCGTGCACCGGGGCACCAAGGAGTTTGCTGCCGAGTGTCCCGAGTGCGGCAAGACCTTCAACGACAAAGGCTACCTCAGTAGCCACATGAAGATCCACCGGAACCGCAAGGAGTACGAGTGCCCGTACTGCCCCAAGTCGTTCAACCAACGGGTGGCCTTCAACATGCACGTACGCATCCACACAGGCGTAAAGCCGCACAAGTGCTCCGAGTGCGGAAAGAGGTTTTCCCGAAAGATGCTTCTCAAGCAGCACATGCGCACCCACAGCGGCGAGAAGCCCTACCAGTGCTCCGTGTGCGGAAAGTCCTTTGCCGACCGCAGCAACATGACGCTGCACCATCGCCTGCATTCCGGAATCAAGCCCTTCAGCTGTCCCCTGTGCCCCAAGGCCTTCACCAAGAAGCACCACCTGAAGACGCACCTTAACTACCACACTGGCTGCAAGCCCTATGTCTGCCCGCATCCCAACTGCAACCAGGCCTTCACTCAGTCCAGCAATATGCGCACCCACGCCAAGAAGTGCCAGTATCGTCCGCTGGAAGGATCGGCCCCCGCTTCTCTTCCAGTGGCGGCGGGGAAGTCTTCACAACAGCTGCAGATGCCGGTGCCGGTCAGTTTGGCCGTTGGCATGGCTACGTCTCCGGCGTTTGCAATGCCAATGCCACCACCACCTGGACCACCGCCGCCGGCTCAGCAATCCCTGCTCAGCAATCTGAGGACATTCTAAAGACCCAAAGTGGGGGATCAAAATATATAGGGCATAGAGAGGTGCTGAATCTACCAAAATTGTAGAATAATCTTAGTTTTCCGTTTGTTGTTATTCATTTTAAATCTAAAATACACTTACTTATAATATTTGATTAAATTTAAGTAAGTCATACGTTATATTATAATGCACGGACCGCAATGCTTTTATTTTGGAAAATAAAAATTAAAATATTTTTTTATGTTGTCGAGTCATTTATTAATTGAGAATTTAATTGACTGTATCGTTGTTAGATCGTTTAATATATAGAAATTCGTGTCAAATAATGAAAAAGTATCTATATATTGATACTTACTACTATCCCTTTATGAGATTTGTTGCATGAATTATATTAATTTGTGGTTTTAGGATAGGAGTCTCAAATTGAACTTCTCTCAACAAATTATTTCACTATTCCCAATCTAGTATACAAGTGATTTTCTTTCATAACTAGCATTAGAAATAAAGTTCTTTCAACAGATCCATATAAAAATGGGCCATTTGCTTCAAAAGAAAAATAAAACAGGTACGATTCCTCAGAAAAATTACTTTCAAACTAAACTTAAATTAACATTTAAAAAATAAATCAATATTCTTTAGATTCTAAGTGATCAATAGAAAACTTTAAAGGAAGTATATCATCAATAATGGCTTACAATGGCTCCGTAGATGTGAACGAGCTTATGGAATCACTGAAGCTAAACGAAAGTGTTCAGTCGCTTACCAGACTCGATCGATATCCTCCATATTCGCCATTCTATGGGATCATGGGCGTGGTATGCTCAAGTGTATTCAGTTCGATTGGAGCGGCCTATGGCACTGCGGTTTCTGGAACCGGGATATCAGCCACAGCCGTGATGCGTCCAGAAATGATCATGAAGTCGATTATACCGGTGGTAATGGCGGGAATTATAGCCATTTATGGTCTTGTGGTTTCTGTGCTGCTGTCCGGTGAGCTAGGACCTTCGACCCAGTACTCGCTCCCCACGGGATATATGCACCTGGGTGCTGGACTTGCTACAGGATTATGCGGTTTAGCTGCCGGTTACGCCGTGGGAGAGGTGGGTGACACTGGGGTGCGACATATCTCCGAACAACCACGCCTCTTTATTGGGATGATTCTCATCTTGATTTTCGCTGAAGTTTTGGGCCTGTACGGGCTGATCATTGGTATATATTTGTATACTGTGAATATAAGAACATAAATTTTATAAAATAAGTTATAAAAAATAAATGTATATAAATAAATATGATAAAAATATTGTAGAGGAATCAAGGATGTAACATCGTTACTTTTTTTAATGTAAAACAACAACAACAACATCATAAAGAATTTATCCTTCAGGTCAAATTATTAGAAAACTGTATTTCAGATCGCGCCTTAGAGGTGGGAAAACATCGATGATGCCCTGGCAAACATCGATATTAGCTGTGGTTCGAATATCAGATGAGGTTTGCGTATCAGGTGTGACACTGGATTTTTTAGGTCTAAATTTCCACTAGTTCAGATTTTCAGGGTTAAACGCCTACTTTCATTTGGTCACACTGTCAGAATTGGCGATTTTTTGTTAGTAATTATTAATTTTACGCAAACGGAAAACACGAAAAGGAAGAGCCAAAAGCATTGGGCGAACTCGAAGAGTCAAAGGAGGCGAAGCCTGAACTGCTGGGCATCAGCCGGCAAACGAAATCGATTGCGAAAAGCTTTCAATCCGGCAAATTTCATCACAACTTATAATTTCATCACTGCACACGTGTCTGAAGCTTTGGGTGTCCAGTCCCCTATATAGCCAGTCCAGGCGATTTCCGGACTGCTGTCTGGAACGCCCATCTATTACCGAGACACCCGGGAGGCCGACACCAATCCGAGACAGGCTGATCACATCAAAGAGGCGAACGCAGGGGGAGGAGCAGGAGGAGGTGCTGCAGGAAAGTGGCGGCAGCGGCAGCAGTATACTCTTCACAGCCATGGACGAGTACTGGCAGCAGCTGACCAACGGTGGCGTTCGTGGAGGAGCAGCCACCAATGGCCATGGTCACGAGGCAGCGGGGCAAGCGTCTGGCAGCAACGCCAGCGGAGCTACTACCAGCAGCAACAGCAACAACAACTACGTGAACTTTAATCAGTTCATCCAACAGCACAACCTGGGCGGAGGATCATCGCCCACTGCCAGCGCGGGAACAATGCAGCATCCACTGAGCAGCGGAAATAACACGAACTACAACATCGGCGGCGGCGGAGGAGCCTTTGGTCTGAATCCGCCAGTGGCTCAGCACGGGAATTCCAACAGCTTTGGGCATGTGAGTGTGTAGTAAACTGGATTATTGTATTCTTTCAAGGATTACAAGGATTGGAACTGAATTTTTATCATATTTCTGTCTGTTTCCACAGCTATATTCACAGCCCATGTTTCCATCGTACCAAAATGGCGATGGCGCCGCCTCCTTCTATGACGATACCTTTTCCAATCTGTACACACCGTTCGGCAACAATCCCTTTGATTTTAGCTCTTCCAAGCTGCAGGCCTCGGCCCCCGAATTTGTGCCCAATCTGGCCAAGTTAAGTCTGAACGAAGAGCCGGCCACGACGCCAAACGGGAACAGGAATATCACTGCCAGCCAAGAAACTGCCATTAGTGTGACGGGAACAAGGGCGCCACAACCGGGAGGAAACGGTGGATCAGGAGGAGGCGAGCCCCACCATCTTCGTTTATCCGCCAACAATTACGAAAGAGATCGCGGCGACAGGGACTCGAGGCCGGGAAGCACCAGGCAGCAGCGTCGCTCCGACTACCGCGATGACCGCGAGGATCGATATGAGCGAAACGATCGCAAGAAGCCCCAGAAGCAGCAGCGCTACGACAATCATAGAAGCAACAAACGAAGGGACGACTGGAATCGCAACCGGGACCGCATTAACGGCTTTCCTCGAGCTGCCGACGAGCTGGACACCAGCAACGAGAGTGCTCAGCCATCGCCCGAAAAGCAGCAAACGACTCAGCAGCAGCAGCAAATCTCCCCGCGGAGAGCTCCACCGCCTCCGCCGGCGGCGGATAATGAGAAGCTATCGCAGCGGGAGAAACTTATACGCGATATCGAGCAGCGGCGGCTGGAGTGTCTGGTGTGCGTGGAGGCGATCAAGGCGCACCAGCCGACGTGGTCCTGCCAGAACTGCTACCACGTTCTCCACCTCAAGTGCACTATTACGTGGGCGAGCAGCTCCAAGTCTGATGTGGGCTGGCGGTGCCCCGCCTGTCAGAATGTCCTCCAAGAGCTGCCGCGCGAGTATCTCTGCTTTTGTGGAAAACTGAAGAACCCGCCGGTGTCTCGTACAGAATTGGCGCACAGCTGCGGAGAGGTATGTTGCCGGATCGAGGGCTGTAGCCATGCTTGCACACTTCTATGCCATCCGGGCCCCTGTCCGCCGTGCCAGGCCAATGTGGTGCGCAGCTGTGGTTGCGGCCGCAGCTCCAAGACGATGCAGTGCGCCATGAAAGAGGATCTCCTCTGCGGCGAGATCTGTGACAAAGTGCTAAACTGTGCCGAGCATCGGTGTCGCGCCGAGTGTCATGCGGGCAAGTGTGCCGCTTGCTCGGAGCAGGTGGAGCAGCACTGTCACTGCGGCAAACAGGAGCGTCAGGTACAGTGTACGCGCGAGAACCAGGACAAGCGGAGCTACTCGTGCAAGGAGAGTTGCGGGAAGCCTCTGCCCTGCGGCAATCACAAGTGCAAGGACTCGTGTCATGCAGGCAGTTGTAGGTAAGTGACCAGAGTGGATGACCTTTTAACCATTTATACGTTTTCTAATATCCCATTCTCCCCTCTAGGCCTTGCAAACTCAGTCCCGAACAGATAACCAGCTGCCCTTGCGGTAAGATGCCCGTGCCGGCTGCCCAACGCTCGAGCTGCCTGGATCCCATACCAACCTGCGAGGGAATCTGTTCGAGGACGCTGCGTTGTGGCAAGCCAGCTCATCCCCATCAATGCGCCAGTAAGTGCCACCTGGGTCAGTGTCCGCCGTGCCCCAAGCAAACGGCCGTCAAGTGTCGCTGCGGCCACATGGATCAGATGATCAAGTGCCGCCAACTGTCCACGAGGGCGGATGATGCTCGCTGCAAGCGACGCTGCACCAAGAAGCGCAGCTGCGGCAAGCACAAGTGTAATGCCGAGTGCTGCATCGACATCGATCATGCCTGCCCGCTGCCCTGCAACCGGACGCTGAGCTGCGGCAAGCACAAATGCGATCAGCCCTGCCATCGAGGCAACTGTCCGCCCTGTTATCGCAGCAGCTTCGAGGAGCTCTACTGCGAGTGTGGAGCCGAAGTGATATATCCGCCGGTTCCGTGCGGCACGAAGAAGCCGCTTTGCAAGCGACCCTGCTCGCGATCGCATCCCTGCGAGCATCCGCCGCAGCACAACTGCCACTCGGCGGCCACCTGTCCGCCCTGCATGATGTTCACCACCAAGTTCTGCCACGGTGGTCACGAGCAGCGCAAGACTATTCCCTGCTCTCAGGCCAATTTTAGCTGTGGTTTGGCGTGTGGCAAGCCCTTGCCCTGCGGCCGTCATAAGTGCATCAAGCCCTGCCACGAAGGCGCCTGTCAGAGTGCCGGTGAGGTGTGTCGTCAGAGCTGTACAAAGCCACGAACACTCTGTGGCCATAAGTGTTCCGCTGCCTGTCATGAGGGCGCCTGTCCTGAGACGCCGTGCAAGGAGCTGGTGGAGGTTCAGTGTGAATGCGGCCACCGGAAGCAGAGTCGCAGCTGCCAGGAGCTGGCCAGGGAGCATAGTCGCATTGCCACCGCCCAGCTGGCCTCCTCCATGGCGGAGATGTCACGCGGCAATTACATGGAGCTAAGCGAAATCCTGGCTCCGGCCAAGACCAGCAAATCGAACCGAACGTAAGGGATGTCCATAGTGACAAAAATCATTTATTTTATATAAAAAAACCATTTCAGTTTGGACTGCAACGATGAGTGCCGCCTGCTGGAGCGTAATCGTAGGTTAGCCTCTGCCCTGTCATCGGGCAACCCGGACACAAAGCAAAAGTCACTGACCAAATACTCGGAGTTTGTTCGGGGATTTGCCAAGAGGAATCCGGCTCTGACCAAGAGCGTGTACGAGACGTTGAGCGATCTGGTGAAGCTGGCCAAGGAGAGCAAGCAGCGGTCGCGGAGCCACTCCTTCCCCACGATGAACCGCGAGAAGAGGCAATTGGTGCACGAGCTGTGCGAGATATTTGGCATCGAGTCGGTCTCCTACGACAAGGAACCTAATAGGAATGTTGTGGCCACGGCCCACAAGGAGAGGGTATGTCTATTTCTTGCGCTTTGATTCCTAAATTAAGCCTATTTCCTTTCAGTGCTGGCTGCCTGCCACAAGCATCATGGAGGTGCTGGCTCGTGAGTCTGGACAACGTCGAGTCCCGGTGCCCAGCAACAATGCATGGAGCTTGAAGAAATAGTGAAAATAAATACTGTTTGAAGGAGGAAAGGGAGCGTAGAATGAAATATTTGTTGAGCCTGAAACGGAGGCAAACCGAAAGAAAGCTCTATGAGAGGACAATACACTTACTAGCGAAGCCGATATTGCCGCCGTATATTTTGTAAATTATAACGCAAGTTAGCTAAAATCTAGAATGCATAAATATGTTGAATATTGAATGGATACGCATGAGCAGAGTTATGGAGAATCTTGTTAACCAATTCTGTTTCATAATGAATTTATCAAAAATCCAAAACCTGAGCCCAAAACAAAATAAGAAAATGTATAACGGAGGGAAAAAATAAATAAAAAAGAGCAAAGGGAAAATTTGAGTTTAATTTACTAATTTGGAAACCCGAAGTTTATATTGAAATTCGATTGGAAAAATTGAAAATCAATTAAATCAAATTCGAATTAGTTTTTTTTTCTTTATGAAAACTTTACAATCAATATAATATCGTAACAGTTATAAATTTCTTCTATATTAACCATGTTTACCCTGAACTTTCAGTTACGAAAATACTTATCGAGCAAAAGTAGACTTCAGGTAGAAAACAGATCAAAATAGATCTTCAAAACAGACTTCAAAAGTGGCTAGGAAGACTGCAGACTAGCTCTGCGCAACGAGAAATCCAGTTTGGAATTCACTGCCAGGACATTCGAGGAATCTTTGCCGCCGACATCCGTCAGCGGATTGGCATTGCCAGGATTAGCAGGGGTCTTTGTCAGCGAGGGCAAGGCTTCCTTCTTCTGTGATTTTGACTTGAAAGGCGCTGATGGCGGCTCTGGCTTCTTAGCGGCAGAGGGTGGCTGCTTGGGCTGGCGGAGCTGCTCCCAGTCCAAGGCCATGCTCTTATGGATATCCTCACCGTATACCAGGAAAGGAGTATTCACCTGGCTCACATAGACGTTCACCAGCTCTGTGATCTGTTGCTCGATTTTGGGCAGCTTGGCCGAGATGGCTTTGCGTTCCTTCTCCTCCTTAAGCAGCTGGCCACCGCGATTGTTGAAACGACTCGGATCGTTTGCCTTGGCCACTAGTGCCTCCATGCGCATCCACAGCTCCCCCCGGTGTGCATAGAGTTCGAAAAGCTTCTTGTTTCTGCTGTAGAAGTCCTTAAGGCCGTCCAACTCCATCTCATGAAGTTCCAGTATATCTTCGCTTTCGGTATCGGTAAAGTAGCTAGTGAAGAGTTTGCGTTCCTCAGGGCTCTTCAGGGTGAGATCCCACCACACCTTGATTTCTGCACGCAGTCGTCCTATGTAGGTCTTCAGGTTCCCAGTTCGGATTGCTTGGCACCGCTGCAACTCCTCTAGGAGCACATCATAAGTGCCCTGTGTGTAGGCCATGGCTTCCCGCACCCGTCGCTTGAAAAAATCTTCAGTCTCTGGGAGTCGTGTCCACAGTACTTCAATCTTCTTACGCATAGTGTCGATATGCTCGTGTAACTCCTCGACTTGATGGGCGTATTCCTTCTGCATGAGGCGTAGCTGCGTCAGGACCTCATTTTTGGGGGACTGATTGTCCTGGCATAGCAGTTGCACCTCGGAGTCTGTAATGGGAAATAGTTCTAGTATCTTCATGTTAGTCCGGATGCTGTCACGCAGCTCGTCCACCTCCTTCAGCCGCTGCACTCGTTCGTCGCGCAGTTGCTGGAGGTGATCCCGGAACGCATCCATCTCCTCCGGCAGTGGCAGAGGATCTGCGGGCAAGGGAAGCGGCAACTCGTCCAGTTCCTCACAGAGCTCATTCTGCTGGACAAGCAGCTCTCCGATTTCGGCGCGTTGGCTGGCCAGCTCCGCGCTCAGGAGCTCGATGCTCTTTTTCAGCTCCAACTGCCTCATGACCAGGGGGAGATCATCCGGCTGCTCGTGCATGTCCACTGACTTGTGGAGCAGGCGCGCAAGGACACTGGCCTCCATCCGCAGCCTGGCGATGTCGTCGAGGATCGACTGCTGCTTCTCCTGGGACTCGTTCAGCAGGTCCTTGTAGAAAGTCTGCACGTGGTCCCTCAGCCTGAGGAGAAACTCGTCGCAGGTCTTGGGCTCAAAGATCCGCAGCCACATCGCCAGCAGCAGGTCAACATGCTGGCCGGTCATCTCCAGGATCTGATCCTTCACTGTGGTGGAATGGTGCGTTTCCATGATTCGGTTTTGTGTGCCAAATTGGACTGGATTTTGAAAGAAAAGGATTTGTGTGTGTATACTTTTGAATTCAAAGCTCAAACTGAACTGAAATGAATTAAATCAAGCGAAAAATGAAAGCTAAAGTTTGAATTGTAAATAAAAATCTATATATATTAGTTAATTTGTGCTTTCTGCATATAACTTTGAAGAATTATAATTATTTAAAAAGAAAAAACATAAATAAATAAATAAAAAATTGATCAGTTATCCCATTTTCAAATGAGGTTTGTGGAAATAGTCAGCTTTTGTCAGCAGACTTTCAATGCTGCCAGTTAACTTGAGAAATGTTGTGTTATAGCAATCGGAAACTGTCGGACAGCAAATGCGTTTTAAAATGTACGTTATTTTTTATTATAACAATATATTGTAGAATTTGCCATTTAAAAAAAAATATAATAAAATAAAACAAATAAAAAAGGTTTTTTTTAAGATAATCCTATAATGAAGGATTTCAGACATTTTTGAAGAGCAGTATGAAGTACTCTGTGTTTAGACGCCTATTCCGGCGTGACCTGGTAAATAGTTAAAAAAAAGCCTTACATTTCGCATCCTCATTTCTAAATAGTTAAAATAGAAAAAATCCTTGTTCCAAATTGTGGTTGTGTATATTAATAACTGTCTTAAATTCTGTGGACTAATCGTTGAGACATCCTGGCAACCGAATTAAAAAAATAGTTTTAGGAATTCAGTCAGTTCAGTAATTTAAAAAGAAAATAGATTTCTTGAAGTCTTAGTACCTTAAACGAAAGGCTATATCTTGTTCTTTATATTGTGTATTGATTAAACTATAAAACATAAATCTTAATCTTAACCGATGGGCTCATTCTCAACAATCAGCTTAAAAATATTGTCGTAAAGATTTACAAACACAAAACTTAGATGCCTTTCGTTCTTGCTTTCTGGGTGTACTTCTTTCAGTTTGGTTCCTGGCTTGCTTCTTAGTACCAGACTCTTCTTTAAAGAAAGCAAACTATTTAGGCTTAAAAATTTTGGAACTCAAAATATGGGCCAGTAGACCCAACCATTAGTTAATTAAAGCTGCTGGGGGGGGGTGGGAAACAACCTGAGAGCTGCCCAAGGGAGATTCCTTCTACCTGCTGGTCCGTAGTTGTGGAAACTAGAAAATACTTACATACTCCCTCTTACCACCGGCAACTGCCCCATTGGCCCGTTGCCATCTCGTTTCGGGCTATGGGCACACGCTTCTAATTTGTTGCCATTGCCGTTGCCATTTTCACGAAAAACAATAAGCGGCGCCTAGGGAATAATGCCAAAATAAAGATGAAATGTTACGACAAGTCAAAGTGGGGGGATTCCCAGGATGAGACGCTCTCACGCACTCACCCTGGATGAAGGGGGTGTTTAGGGGGGCATGGGGGGAGGCGGGTGTTAAGGCAAAAGGCAAGTCGTATGTATATGAATATAGACCTGACATAATGAGCAGCCTATAAGCGAAATGGCTGCCAACATCGTCGGAGGCCACTCCACGGCCCCGGCCTCTCAAGATGTGTGCGTAATTTGAATTTAGTCTGCCGGGGAGTTTATTAACAAATACAAAGAAATCCGTAAGATGCTGAAATGAGCGAGGGAAAAGAAAGAAAGAAAGCAGGCAGGCAGGCAGGCAATAAGTGGCGGCACCGGTGGGTGTGGGTTGTAACCATAATTCCAGGGAGATTAAATTGCGGTTGGCATCTTTAGGCTGGGCTGTTGGTGTTGGCCAAAAAGGCCGCGAGATTGAAGGAAAAGAGTTCATTTTGGGTCAATTGTAAACCGCTGCCAGTGGGTGTGAGTTGGAATTGTGAGTGGGGGATGTGCAGGGATATATTTATAAAATGTGTGTAATTTTAATTATGTGTTACATCGAGCCAAAAAAAATGTATAAAATGGAATGGCACATGCGTGTGTGTGAACGAATAATACTTGAGCTCATTCGCATTCCATTACGTTATTAATACAGCTATTTATTTTAAATTTAAATTTTAAACCAACAGCAAATTTAAATTATTTTCAAATTACTTTTTGTGGTCGAGGAGAAAGTGGTGTGGATTAAACGTTATTCACAGCTGGTCCTATTTGTAGCAGTTAAGGTGTGTGGACTTTACCCAATGTGTTATTATTAGTTGTTAATTTGAGTTGCTATAATACCAATTAAGTAATCATAGGAATAAAGTTCGTGCGAAATATGAATGTCAATTGCGTGAAAGCCCATAAATAGCTTTAAATGTAAACAAAAAAACGATTTAAGCTTTTATTGAAAAGATTATCAGGCCTGCTCCGGTAATCGTAAAATTTTTTCGATTTCGTTTTGGGCGAAAACGAACCGTTTTCGTTTTTAGCTGCTCCGGTTATCGGCAAATTTCTGCTATCGGATGTTTCGTTTTGTCATCGTTTCTCACTGCTCAAGCAGCTAACTTGTGCTTTTGGTAATAAGCAAACAACGTAAAGTACTGCCTATTATATTTACAATTGCCCTTTTTCTAAGCCAGAAAAAGGCAAAAAATGGTAGGTTTAAGCAAATCTAGGCACCTAAGATGCTGCCACACTTTTCACAGTTTTAATTCCGGTGGTCTCAAATAATTATTTAGTTAATTTGGACCATTTAAGTAATCACATTAAATAGCATTAATTATAAACAACCATTTTGGCGGTCCTTTAAAGTTATTAATGTATTCATTTATATTTTATAAGTATTTTTAACTGGCTGTTTCGTTCCACCAACAATATGGCAACCTTGGCGATAACTTTTTGCGGTGAACCTATCGACCTATCGCCAAAACGAGAAAACAAAACACGGCAAAAATTTTGTTGTCAAATTTGAGGTGGGGTCAGAAATAAATTTTTTACAAAATAACTACCTGCCAGAATGATCTTATGGTGGTGTGGAATAAACATCAATAGACCACTGAGTAAACTATTTTTTTCCTTTTGTAAATAAGTTCTGATTTCATATAAAAAAAGCCATTTACTTTTCATTCCGGCCAGAAAAAGGTGCCCGTTTTTCAAATCGAAAAAATCTTTCGATTTCGATTACCGGAGCACCAATTTCTCGTTTTCAAAAACGAAAACGAAAAATTCTTGCCGTTTTCGATTACCGGAGCAGGCCTGTATATATAATGAAAATGTGGTTATTATTTATTAAAAAATATGATTTTTCATGATTTTACAAGTACAGCAGAAGAATTTACTTAAAGTACAATTTTAAACAGTTTTTTAAATTAATAAATATATAATAATATTTATAAAAATTTTTAAATTTATAAAATCTTTAAATGCAATTAAATTTAAAATGTAATTAATTTTGATATCGACATTTTTGTGTCATAAATTGAGTGATTATATCCAAATTTTCATCTATCTGTAGCTCAAAACAAGGCCCAGAAGAAGCCTAATCTAAAAAAAGTTATTCCATCACTCCAATAAATACAATTATTAACTTTGGCATTTCCTTTTACGGAAAATATGCAGTGCTGCAACAACAACAAAAAAATTGTAACATGACAAACATTTGATGCTCATTTGTGACATTTGTCCTGGGAGAACTTTCATACGTCCATATAACATATGCAGTAGCAAGTAATATGAAAGCTGTCCTTAAAATATTCATTAAGTCTGAGTGCAGTGGCTGAAATTATGCCTGCGTGTGGCCCGTGGCCTGGTGTCCTCTCCCCTCGAGCCCTAAGCATGTCCTGCACGTGACCCGACCGAAAAGAGGCGACCACAGAAATGCGAGTGCGAGGGGTGAGTGATGGGGAATGGCGTGAAGAGGAGAGGAGCTGAGAGAAGAAGGTGGCAGCCCGGCGAGTTGCTTTCAATTTGCGCTTTTTGGCATTTTTAAAAATGCATTAAAGGAGCAGCTTCAGCCGCATCCCTAGCCCCATCAAGGAGCACAAATAACGTGCCCAAAAAGATTTGCAGACAGACACAAACACAGAAAGAATGCGAGAAGTTGCGATGAAAGCGCGAAAATTACTTCCTAAATAGCCGCCTGACTGCCTGCCAAGACTGCTCAGGAATGGCTTCTACAGCCAACGGGGATGGCGGAGGCCTAGACGACGAGACTGGGCCGGGACGACCATGTTACTGGGCTCAATAAAGGAGACACAAGCACAAGCGCACGCCGAGGCTCGAGCTCACACATATAGGTACGAGTGCGCCAAGGGCTTGGAGGCAGGAAGAGGTCACAAGAGGGGTCGCCGGAGTCGAATTCAAATTGCAAATTCGCCGCAGATTTTTTATGCACTTTTCCCTAGCCAAAATTAAGGCAAGGGAACGTGGAGCTCCGGAACGAGTTCCAGACGGAGGCGAAGACCAGGACGACGAATGTAACAGGAACGACGGGAACGGGGTCGGAAGGTCCAGGGCCAGGAGCCGGATCGGGACAAGTAAGAGGACGACATTGCTGACGTCTTGACAGCGAAATAAAAAAAAGAAATAGACTGCAACAGGACTGGCAATGGAAAGCGGGCAGGCTGCGGGCGGGGAGCAGAAGGCCCAACTGAATGCAAATATTATCGTATCTGTATGCAAAAGAGGGTAGCGGTGGAGAGGAGCGGTAATCACGGAGAGAAACTGCACGGAAAACCAATAATATAAGGCCTTACCTGCATTGGCGGGGTGCGGTACAAAATGGGTTGCTGTTACTGTCAGTGACAGTAAAAGTTAAGCAAGATCTACAATTTTTAGAAATAATACATAGTATCTTTTTACAGTATTGTTTTTAATTTACTGATTAAGGGCTACTAAGCAATTTGTACACAATTCCTAGTCTTTAGAAATATTTACATATTCAACACAAAACTGAATTTTAAATTAATTTTCTACTACAATATTGATTTATTGGTAAAGTAGGAATAAGTTCAAATCAAGCCAGAGATACCTCTTATTTTATAATTTTCTCTGTGCAGGAGAATCAGAGAAAAGATGTAGAAAAACAGGTATAGGAACGCGTACAGCCAGGACTCTCTCCTTTCTGTGAGGCATTTCTAAAGCGAAAAGGTGACAAACTGCTCCAGCCACTTTGGAGAGGTGGAGGAATGGCTCCTAAGAAGGAGAAGTATCGCTG